ATGTTATCCTACCCAAAGACAATTTATTGTAAATGTTTCGTTCTTCTACGATAAGTTCCTATGACACAAGTCATCTCAGCCAAGACCTCCCCTCTCACCCAATAGTGAAAACTGTTGAAATATCCAAAGTTCAGGCCAAAATATCTCAAATGCCGGAGCATGCTTCAAAAAACGGAGCATACCGTTTAGAAGGCGGGACTTCATACTAACATTATCTGCAAAAAAATCTTTGGGCACTCATTTAGTTATTCCACAGGAAGACTGCAAACACCTCGTCCACCACAGGGTACCAGTGTCAATTTTGTTTTCATTATAACGCGCTAATTCGGTAATTATCGCACAGCAACAGACAGACAATGCCACAAAATAATTACACGCCATACACTTTAATAAAATAGAACCATTTCTATCTAATCGCCTAAATAAAAAAAGGGCCCACCACAGGGTACCCACGTCAATCTTTTTTTTCTTTCATTATAATGCGCTAATTTGGTAATGATAAAGTAGCAACAGACAGAAAATGCCTCAAAATGGTTACACACTATAAACTTTAATGAAATTGAACAATTTCAAAAGCTTTTATTAGTCCTAAGCCATGAAAATAAGAATCGGCGGCCTTATGATGACCTTATGATGATTGTATAAGTGAACTTCGTGACGAAATTTACTCTTCGCTACGTCAAACACCTGAGTCACAGAACACTATCAAAATGCTTACATTGTCTGTATTTGAACTTTAGAATGACTGTATAATAAAATTTGCTTTTGTTCGTCTAGTAAAGGAATAGTACAATTGCTTGAAACTTGCACGCCACATTGCATCTTGATACAGAAAACGTTATCCAAAAGAATTCCCTTTTCTGAAAATAAATTGATTTGCTTGCGACTCAGTGTCGGTTGCCTAATATGCCGAAAAGGAGAAAAAATGGAGAAAAGCGTTTGGCTGTAAACAGCCAAACGCTTCTTTTTTTCTAATCCCTGGAAATTACTTCCTGGCAAGCGCATACATCTTTGTAATTTGATAGCTTGATTCGATTTTCCATAATAACTACAAACAGCACAATGGCCGATAACATTCTAATGCGACTCAAAGCAGGTCGGCAGTATACGTATCTGAAGACGGATTTCAAGATCCACACAGCCAGCGAATTCCCATGCGCAGATCACTGCAGAGTGCTCGCCCTCAGTAGGACAGAGAAAGAGTACAACGGTCAGTGCCAACATCAGCATACCATCACCTGTGACCGGTGCGAAGACCTAAAGAATGCTGTCTCAGATCTGCAACTAGCGTTGGATTCAGGTGAAGTAAATCTAAGGTAAGAACATCTTTGTGACAGCAAAGCAGAGTTTAGCATTTATTGTCAACTAACAACCTAATCCCCAAGGCGCTTTGTATGAGTTTAGAAATTTTAAATCGCTTTGGGTGGTTCTAAACCTAATGAACATATGTTTTAAATGAAACGCAGTTTACGAAAAAAAGTGAGAGAGGCATCATTATTTTTTTATAAAACGGCTCCAAAGAAAAATTTCTGAGGCTATCGCGCCGTGATGTTGACAAGCTTTACTCTTTCTCTTTTTAGTCCTGATAAATGAAAGGAGTTACAGCATGATTTGAGATGCGCTGCGCCGAGCATAGAAGATTGGAAGTCGCACGTTCTCCGTTTAGTTCACCACGATGCGGCCAAGAGCGAAATTGTTGATAGCCTGAAACCATCACAGGTGCTGCTAATAATGGACTGGGCGATGAAGTTTATTCCAACCAGTTTTCGCGAAACGCAGCGCGACTGGTTTGGAAAGAAGGGGAAGTCCTGGCATCTCTCGGTGGCCATCACTAAAGCAGAAGATGGAACAATTGAGGTAGAAATCATGTGCCTTCTCTTCTGTCTCTATCGCTCACTGACCACTATAAACTAGTTTCTCTTGAGCGCGGTCTTTGTTGCCTAACCGATTGCAAAATTGGATAACTGATAAGAATGCCATGCCGAGAAAAGACGCGAAAGCTTAAATTCCTAACAGTGAATTTCAACATTCCATTGCTTTCGGCACTTATATAAAGATAAAACGTTGGCGACGCACGTAAGCGCGCGCAAAAGCTCATGGGATGGAATACATTTTAATCCAAATAAAAGGCCATAAACATTCACGAAAAAAGCAGACCTTCCGGGTGTTATCTCTATTTCAAGTCAACATGCGCAGGTTAATATTCCATTAGCCCTTGACTGTGACCAGGTCCCTTGGCGCACTATTCATGCTAAAAAATGCTTTACTATTATGATTTTCAGACACGTACATATATCCACTTATTTGATGAATGCGATCAAAATTGGTTCAGCCTTGCCTCCATCATCGAAGATTCACTAACCACCATGAAGCGACAGAAATCTAGACTGAATGAAGCTTTCCTGAGATCTGACAACGCAGGCTGTTATCACTGCGCATTTCTCCTTCTCAGTCTTCCAAGCCTTGGACAGCGAGTTGGTGTCCGCATAGCTCGTTATGACTTCAGTGAGGCCCAAGCTGGGAAAGACATATGTGACCGCCGCGCCGCCGCCCTGAAGAGCCGCATTAGGCACTACATTAATGAAGGCAATGACGTCAAGACAGCAAGTGACATGAAAGCTGCTATTGACTCGCATGGGGGTGTCAAAGGCTGCTACTCAGTGGTATGCAAGGTTGACGAAAGGTCCCAAAACATGACCAAGCACTCGCTGAGTGGCATACAGTCTTTGAACAACCTCGTGTTCACTGAAAGTGTAGAGATGATCGCTTGGCGGGCCTACAATGTCGGCCCCGGAAAGGTCTTTTCCGCGGCGTCGCAAACGCGTCTCGGTGCCCCTCAAGGCCCGACAAACTTATAGGTTCTCCAGGCATTCAATAGTCCTGACATACTGACTGGTGTCTTCCGTGCATCTTCCAGCACGCAAGAACAGCAGCCCGCAGCACCTCCAACGGACCCTATAGCCGTAGAACGGATTCAGTTTGAAGAAGAAGAGCGTGTGGCCTTTGGCTGCCCAGAGGAGGGTTGCATAAAAGTTTACCAAAGTCACAGCAGCCTTCAGCGTCACCTCGATGCCGGGAAACACCTTTTAGCGTTGGAGAGAGAGTCCACGTACCACGTGATAAAGAAAAAGTGGGCAGAGACCCGCAAGTCAATTTCTGGTAGCTACGTGGAAGCAACTCAGCCGCTCACATCTGCATCCGCCTCAGTTTCCCATAGCCAGTCGGAAGACCCGCCGCCAACAGCTGACATGGGTTGGGCATTAAAAAAGACCAAGAAGTCTGTTCATTTCACCACTAAAGTGCGCCAATTTTTGCGTGAAGTCTTCCTTCAAGGAGAGGACACCGGGAATAAAGCAGCGAGTGAGGATGTAGCAGCACGAATGAGGTCCGAGTGAACCGCTGAGGGAACGAAGGTACTTACCAAAGACGAGTGGCTGACATCTACCCAGATAACTGGATATTTCAGAAGAATGGCCGCATTAAACAGCAGTGGGGGTCTTCATAGAAGAGAGGAGGCGAGGCCAGCGCCAACACAACCGGTACCCGAGGGAGGAGAAAGCGAAGATGAGGAGAAAGACCCATATGTGGCTGAAGCTCCCATTATCAGAAAACGGCTTCAAATCAGGAGGGAGCTAGAACTGTAACTTTACTTTCGATAAGAGTGTTTGTCTGTTTGATTATATTTATTTTGACTTTTGTCTTTGATAGTTCTTACAAAGGACAGTTCTTTAGGGCACAAGTCACCAAAACACGCAGTTGATTTTGTTTTCAGTATAGCAAGGTCTTTCTGATGAAGTTTTCTGCATCAAGATGCAATGTGGTGTGCAAGTTTCAAGCAAATGTATTATTCCTTTATTCGATGAACAAAAGTCAGTTTCATTATACGATCATTCTAACGTTCAAATACAGACAGTGTAAGCATTTTGGTAGAGTTCTGTGACTCGCGTGTTTGACTTAGCTATGAGTAAGTTCGGTCACGAAGTTCACTTATGCAATAATAGAGGTCATCATTAAGCCGTCGATTGTCATTTTCATGGCTTAGGACGAACACAAGCTTTTGAAATGGTTCAATTTCATTAAACTTTATGGTGTGTAACCATTTTGCTGCATTTTCTACCTGTTGCTATGTCTTTATTACCTAATTAGCGAGTTATGATGAAAAAAAATGACGTGGGTGTCCTGTGGTGGGCCAAGTTTTTTTAATTTTATTTTAGCGATTAGATAGAAATGGTTCTATTTCATCAAAGTGTATGGTGTGCAACCATTTTGTGGCATTATCTGTCTGTTGCTGTGCCATAATTACCGAAGTAGCGCGTTATAATGAAAAAAATTGACGCGGGTACCCTGTGGTGGACGACGTGTTTGCAGTCTTCCGGTGGAATAATTAAATGAGTGCCCAAAGATTTTTTTGCAGATAATGTTAGTATGAAGTCCCACCTTCTAAACGGTATGCTCCATTTTTTGAAGCATGCTCCGGCATTGGAGATATTTTGGCCTAAACTTTGGATATTTCAACAGTTTTCACTATTGGGTGAGAGGGGAGGTCTTGGCTGAGATGACTTGTGTCATAGGAACTTATCGTAGAAGAACGAAACATTTACAATAAATTGTCTTTGGGTAGGATAACATTCACTGGAAATATGAAAAGATTTGGTGGAATTCTTTTAGCAGCAGAGCTTTATACTTTTGACCAATTTTTAGGTGTTTTTTGGTCATTTTTTTTAAAAAAAAACAAGGGGGGTGGTCAACTCCCCCCAGTTTCGACCAAATTTCCTTAAACTTAGCGTGAAGTAGTTTTGGGTGGACCCCTTCAAAATTGCCAAGTTTCATCGAAATCGGTTAGATGGCTTGTGCCGCCCCTGCCTGGTCCTTTCGTGGATGCACTCTTAAAGGGCAAATGCAGTTTGAGCTTTTTGAAAAACACATGAGTGCAACTAAAATCCGCATTGAGTGAGAAAAGTCATATGATTACTTTTTAATAATATACATGCAATAATGTACATGTACTTTCCTGCCTTTGTATGCTTTAATTTTGCAACATACTTAGTTGTTTCGCTTTTATTTCAGCATCTCAAAATCAAGGAACTGAATTGTTTATCCCTAGTCATGGATAGGTGTATCCTTTCTCTTTCAATGCGTATCCATAGCTGTCCTAATAATTAATTTTCAGACCCTTTTAGGGCTCATAGTTGCCCACTTGTTTGTTTTTATTACTCATGAGTCTTGGTGTAGAAGGACTCGACTAAGCAGTTTGTAGGGGTTGGCATGCTAGAAACTCTCAATTCCTTTCTCTTTGTACAATAGCTTCAAACATGAAATCAATATATGGTCCTGTTTACAACGTTTATATCTGGTTTTTGTTTTCAATTGTTCAATAGTATTTTGTCATAACAGAACTAAATTTTGCTTTGTATGCTAGCTATTTTTCCACTTGTCAAGTTACCTGCCTGGCTTCCCACAGGGTGACCAGCAGATTGGGGCACCTGATTGGTTCTGATATATTTCTATTGTTTATTAGCTAATCACATTTTTCCGTTCTCGGAGAAAATTGTTTTTATTCTTATTTGCATAATTTTTCCTCATTTTTGCACTCTGTTTACTAAAATTTGCACTGCTCTAAGACAATCAGTTTCAACAAATGGTTTCATGTATATTATTATCTTTCATAATAAATATCATCTTCTGTAATCAATAATTATTATATCAGTACCTGCTGAATGACTTTGCTCTTGTTCACCTAGCAGAGAGCATTCTATGCTACATTCAACTTGGAGGACCTCACTTTCATGTTCTCTTCCAAGGCTAAGAAGATAAGATTTTAAAAATCTTTAGTACATAATAATAATCAATGATATGTTCATCGTGAAATTCAATATTTCCCCCATCTCACAATAGTGAATACACACACCTTATTCGATGGTTTAGGATATAATAAGTGCAGATATTTTGCGAGTTGCGTAGTATTTTTCTGAGCCCCACAGGGGCGAGGAAAAATACGAGCAATGGGCAAAATGTCCGCTCGAATAATTATATGCTAAACCATCAAATAAAAGGTTTATTATTGCACTCCAAAAAAATTGTTCTTTTGTGAAAGGCTTCAATTTCTTTTGTAAGAAAATTAGAAAACATGCTGATTCCCTCTGTAAGAATAACAATAACAGTGAGCTAAATGTTTGTGAGCATTATATGCTAAACTATTGAATGGGAGGTTAATTATTCTACCTACTGCAAAAAAATGTTATTTTGGCCTCTATTTCCTGGTAAGAGTATCCAAAACATCCTCATTCTGTGCGAATGCTCCTTTTGCATCCACTGGTATTCACCCTGTTGCAAACTCGTTAAACCACGACACTACAGTGCATTAGGGCCTCATATTTTGCGCATTCTCTTGACCTTATATGGTAAAATGACATAATAGTGGAATAATAAAAGGTGTTTTTTAGCATTTATTGTGGACATTTTTGTCTTAATTTGGCTATTTCTGCAAAGTACAACATTTTCAGTACAGTAGAAACTAGTGACTAAGAACCTAGCTAAATTTCATTGGTGTTTATATAATAAAATTCCACACACTTGAAAAATATTCAGGAACCTCACTGAAGACCACTTTAAGTACCCTTAGTTACAACAATNCTTTCATAATAAATATCATCTTCTGTAATCAATAATTATTATATCAGTACCTGCTGAATGACTTTGCTCTTGTTCACCTAGCAGAGAGCATTCTATGCTACATTCAACTTGGAGGACCTCACTTTCATGTTCTCTTCCAAGGCTAAGAAGATAAGATTTTAAAAATCTTTAGTACATAATAATAATCAATGATATGTTCATCGTGAAATTCAATATTTCCCCCATCTCACAATAGTGAATACACACACCTTATTCGATGGTTTAGGATATAATAAGTGCAGATATTTTGCGAGTTGCGTAGTATTTTTCTGAGCCCCACAGGGGCGAGGAAAAATACGAGCAATGGGCAAAATGTCCGCTCGAATAATTATATGCTAAACCATCAAATAAAAGGTTTATTATTGCACTCCAAAAAAATTGTTCTTTTGTGAAAGGCTTCAATTTCTTTTGTAAGAAAATTAGAAAACATGCTGATTCCCTCTGTAAGAATAACAATAACAGTGAGCTAAATGTTTGTGAGCATTATATGCTAAACTATTGAATGGGAGGTTAATTATTCTACCTACTGCAAAAAAATGTTATTTTGGCCTCTATTTCCTGGTAAGAGTATCCAAAACATCCTCATTCTGTGCGAATGCTCCTTTTGCATCCACTGGTATTCACCCTGTTGCAAACTCGTTAAACCACGACACTACAGTGCATTAGGGCCTCATATTTTGCGCATTCTCTTGACCTTATATGGTAAAATGACATAATAGTGGAATAATAAAAGGTGTTTTTTAGCATTTATTGTGGACATTTTTGTCTTAATTTGGCTATTTCTGCAAAGTACAACATTTTCAGTACAGTAGAAACTAGTGACTAAGAACCTAGCTAAATTTCATTGGTGTTTATATAATAAAATTCCACACACTTGAAAAATATTCAGGAACCTCACTGAAGACCACTTTAAGTACCCTTAGTTACAACAATTTTTTTTTTCCCATCAGAATTAACAAAAACCTATTTATTTTAGAAAAATACCCAAATTTTTTTGCAAATAACTATTTTTGCAAGAATCTGTTCAAGCCAGGGAAATGCTGGTTCTTACACACGAGTTTTTAATGCATTTTGGTCCAAGTTAAAATTTGTTTGCACTATCAACATGACCAGCGACTGTTCAAAAATCATTTCAAGCACTGGCTTAATGACCTCCTTATTTACATAATATTATTCGTACACACTCGAAGATAGGAATCTACCAAATGGAAAAGCGTTTAAGGATAGCTATTTCAATTCGAGAGGGGAGAATAGCTCCTTCAGATTTTCTTAAAACAGCCTTAGTAAAATAAATAGAGTTGAACCCGAACAATCTGCATCAAATCTTTACACAGGCATTGGAAAAACCAGGCAAAAGGCAGCCCAAAACATCTTCAAATTCAATATAATAATATAATATAAATACCATATATGGAAGTGTTGGACTGGGCCTGAAAATTTAAAATATGGCGGCCGGTCGAAGTTACATGTAAACATGGTGGCAAGTTATTTGTTAAATTTGCGTTGGCGAGTAGTGTATTTACTCGTTCAGGGATTTACTGTCGAACGTGTTGCTAGACTACTTCACATAGGGAAGATGTTTGTAAAAAAGATTCGAAATCTTTACCAGAACACAAAAACAGTTCATCATCAATCACGGCCGGGTAGAGTGAGAAAGTTGGAAGGTAAGTAAGCTTACGATTTGAACTGAGGTTTTTGTAATCACTTCTCTAGATGAGCCCAATTGTATCAAACGAATACATAACCATTGTTTTTCTCACCTGGACTTAGCACAGGAAGTGTTATTCATAAGAAGGGTAATCCAGCAATATCCAGAGATTTGCGAGGATGAAATACAGGAATGGATACAGTTCGCACTGGGAAAGACAATTCACGTGTCCACGATCGCTAAGCTATTGAAGAAAATGGGCTTTACACGAAGAAAGGTACATATTGCATGTCTTATATTTGAAAAAGAAGAAAAACAGTTTATCACGTCATTGAAGCANTACCACCGTTTTCCTTGATACGCGACTTTCCAAATCAAAACACCCGCTGAAACGTTTCCAAAATTTCCGTCAATCATACTCGTCATACCATATATGGAAGTGTTGGACTGGGCCTGAAAATTTAAAATATGGCGGCCGGTCGAAGTTACATGTAAACATGGTGGCAAGTTATTTGTTAAATTTGCGTTGGCGAGTAGTGTATTTACTCGTTCAGGGATTTACTGTCGAACGTGTTGCTAGACTACTTCACATAGGGAAGATGTTTGTAAAAAAGATTCGAAATCTTTACCAGAACACAAAAACAGTTCATCATCAATCACGGCCGGGTAGAGTGAGAAAGTTGGAAGGTAAGTAAGCTTACGATTTGAACTGAGGTTTTTGTAATCACTTCTCTAGATGAGCCCAATTGTATCAAACGAATACATAACCATTGTTTTTCTCACCTGGACTTAGCACAGGACGTGTTATTCATAAGAAGGGTAATCCAGCAATATCCAGAGATTTGCGAGGATGAAATACAGGAATGGATACAGTTCGCACTGGGAAAGACAATTCACGTGTCCACGATCGCTAAGCTATTGAAGAAAATGGGCTTTACACGAAGAAAGGTACATATTGCATGTCTTATATTTGAAAAAGAAGAAAAACAGTTTATCACGTCATTGAAGCATGGCAGACTATGAAGCACGTACACTTCCATATATGGTTTGACGTGTATGATTGACAGAAATTTTGGAAACGTTTCAGCGGGTGTTTCGATTTGAAAAGTCGCGTATCAAGGAAAATGGTGGTAAGCTTATCTCGTTAAAGTGAAATTAAATTTCATCGCTGTGTGACAAGTGACGTGTGGTATGGTCAAAAAAGCTGATGCAATCTTGATTAAACAAACAAAACTACAACTAACTACCTCTGTATAAGCGACTCCTGACAATGAATAAATTTAAGCCCGGGATTTTAGCTGGCATTAATGAAAAGCAACAGTCACAAGAGGAGTTTACATTCATTGCAGCGATTCATTGCACGGTCGGATAGGACAGAAAAAAATGGCAATGGTTATACTTTTCGATGAAATTACATAACTTGCACATTTAAGATTACCTTTTTTTCCGCACCAGAAAGAACGAAAATACATCGAGGAGCACTTCAAGCTGCTTACTCTACCTCTTTCAAGTGACTAAATTGCAAACGCTGAAAACTACAACTAACGCACCCGTGTAAGCTTTTTTAAAAGAATGTTTTCGTAAAAGCCAAAAAGCCTTGCATCCGATACATATGAACAGTAAGCTAAACTCGGCAAAAAGTAAGCTCAAATTTGAAGATAGTGAACTTACCTTCCCCTTCCTCTTCGTCCTCGTTTATACGACGCCTGATTTCCTTTGCTGCCTCTCGCTCCGTTCTTCGCCGCTCGTCGCTAATTCGGCGTCTATTTTCTCTTGCTCTCTCTCGTTCCTTCTCCAGTTGCTCTTCAGTGAAATTGTGTCGCCTTTCCCTTGCTCTTTCTTGCTCTTTTGCCTGTTGCTCGTCAGTAAAATTTTGCCTCCATTCTCTGATTCTTTCTCGCTCTCTCTCCCGTTGCACGTCAGTAACATTGCGCCTGCATTCTCTGATTCTTTCTTGCTCCCTCTCCCATTCCTCGTTGGTAAAATTGCTCCTCCTTTCTCTGTTTCTTTCTTGCTCTATTTCCCGTTGCTCATTAGTGCAGTTTCGCCTCCTTTCTCTGGCTCTCTGCCACTCTCTCTCTCGTTGAGCTTGCCTTGCTTGCCGCCTACTTTCCCATTTTCTCTGGCTCTCTCTTTCTCTATACTCCAAATTAGACGACATAATGAATGAAAATTCTAGAAAATGCGAATTTAAGAACAATTTCTGTCAACCAATACAAAAAAATAATTTCTTTTTGCTCTGAGTTGACTTCGCTGAACTTCTAGGTTGTTTATCAGCTTCACAAAACGCAGTGACCATTCGTTTTCGCGCCAAAAAAACAACCTCGTTCCCAGGATCCAAACCTCTCACTGCACTCACACACCACCTCCACACTACCCCCAATTTTTTATTGGTATACCTGTGGTGCGGACGGACGGTCGTTCGTTCTGTGTACCGTCACGTGATTACCAAATTTTCTGAGATGGGTAGATTTACTTACCCATGGTGCTCCGCTAATACAGCAGGAATCAAGCACGATTATGAATCGAATGCAGTTCAAATCTACTCAAGTTGTAAAATCTGCTGACGGACAGTTTTGAAGTCTACATAAACATGTATCAAGTATAGTGAGACCAATAATAAAATAAATACAGTATATCCTATCTAGAAAAGTTCAGTTAAACAGTTGGCAGGCCCTTATAAAACCTTGGGATGGATTTTGTGGACCTTTGGAGGTGCGGACGCATCCGCTGCCTCCACCTGATTCAGGTGCTTCATTTTCGAGTTTTGGGGTCTTCGTTTTCGAGATTTGGGTGCTTCGTTTTCGAGATTTAGGGGTCTTCGTTTTCGAGTTTTGGGTGCTTGTGCGTGAATTTCGTGAATTTTTCCAAATCTACATATTTTTTTTGTTTCATGTGTAGATGTATAAGAATGAGGAAAAGCTTAACTACCAGCTTTCTATCATAAAAAAATCATTGATAGTTGATCAAGTGTACTTATATTTTTCTCTTGCAAGCAGTTTTGGACATATCGCCAAAGAAAATGAATCGACCTTGCAGGTACATGCCGAAGGTGGGGATGCAAATAGGGATGGTGATGATGATGATGATGATGTGTATGACTATGTGCATGAGGAGTCTGATGAAGACGGAGGTGGCACAGGTGACGCTGAGACAGAAACAGATGAGACTATGGAGACTGATCGGACAGAAACAGAGACAAGGAAGACAACTGTGATGACAAAGCTGATCTGTATGTTGATAAAAAAATTGACTACTTACTATTTTTAGCATTCTACATTTGCATGCCATATTCATGTACCGAGACACAACACCCCAAAACAATTCATCAACAAGAGAACTGTTGGCATCTGAAGGAAAAAGTTGCTGCCACTCACGCTTTAAGGGTTCTGAGGAATTAAGTTCCTTTAGACCCACTTCAAACAAATTGCGTTTGAAATTTTTGAGTGCCCACATGTTCAAACATGCCACCCTTGCTTCCTCAAGATGCAATGCAAACAAATAAACATCATAAGAAAAGACTGTCAATCCACAGTTCCGAATTGTCTGGCATTAGCCACTGACAGTGTTTCATGAAATTGTGAATCCATGTGGGCAGCTTCCGATGACCAGGACAGGGAACAAATAAGCTGCTTTTTCTGAAAATCTTTTTTTGTCAAAGAGCGCAATTTTGACATCTTCTGTATAAACGTGTCTTCTAAATTCCTTTCTCATTTTTTTACGTTCTCTTAACACTGCCTGACCCATACAATGCCGGATTTTCCCCCTACTTTCAGCTGGGAGGTCAGCAATGCTGCAAAACACCATAGAGGGTGATTCTTCTGGATCACTAACCTCCTTAATTTTGCTAATAATAGTAGAGTTGGTTCCACTCAGGATCTCTGTAATTGTGCAGTAATGTATTCTGAGCTCTGTGGTCTCCAGGCAAAGAACAATGGCAAACTCTGTTGAGACAACGTCACTTGCACATAACAAGTGCAGCTCTCCGAACAGAGAGGCAAAATTCTTTCATTCAATCTGCCGATCCTTGTGCAAAAGCACACATTTCTTAATGTTCTCATATATTCTATTCCACTTAATACTGAAGAATGTCTGTAATGCTGCATAATGCGTGTGTGATGCTAAATGCAAGTCAAAATCATCTCCTGGCTTTGCCACGTCATCACTGCAATCTACACCACCTAGAATGCGAGATCTAACAAACAAGACTCTTCGGATTCATTACTGTTGGAGCTTTCAAAGTATCTACAATGAGGGACAAAAGTGTTGACACACTTCCATAAAATGGCCCCTTTTTGCATAGTGGATATACTTATCCCCTTCCCCTGTCTACCCCAACCCCTTCCCCCCCAAAATCAATGTTGAATTTTGGACCCTCAAGTCTTTTTTTTACTTCAGACAACATTGATTTGGGGGGTGAGGGGATTTACGGAGTTTAAAAAGAATGGAATAATAAATGAATTAAATGTTTGTTAAAAGCACCCGTTTTAAACAAGTGTGTCAACTACTTTTGTCCCTGATTGTAGCTACACAACTATCTAAGGCTAAAAGTTAGATCATCGTCTTTAGCATCAATATATTCCAAACTACATGTAACATCTTCTGTGTCCTTTGGCCTCTCCAGGACTTCATTTAGAATATTAGCATTGATACAGCACAAGCCAGACAGAGCAATCTCGTCACCCCCTCCAATTTCGAGTAGAAGTCAAAAACAACTTTGGGGGGGGGGGTATTAATCTTGCTTTTGAGAAACCAACAAGTGAAAGACCCTTACATTCCTTTGCTCTTGATAGTGACACATAGAGCTGCCAACTAGTAAACTGATTGCCACAGTGCACTTCAACACAAGGAAGGGACATACCTTGGGATTTGTGGGCAGTGATTACCCATGCAAGCTTGAGAGGCAGTTAAGTTCTCTAAGCAACAATCTTGCTCGGGTCATTTGTCTGCAACTGTCAATGTTTTAGGTTCAACAGTCAAATTGATGCTATCATCAAACTGGACCACGGGAAACCTTTGACGGTTAAATTCGTTGACAACTCCCATGTAGCCATTGACCAGGTCCTTACTGTGATTGGTAAGTAATATCACTCGAGCAACCTTCTTTAGTTTTCAGGCATCATTAAATTTCTGAAGAATTGATTGAAAAATGACAGCATCTATCGTGAGTAAAATGCATTCATTACAAAACTAACTAGTGCTGTTTTAAAACGCTGATATTAGTCTGGGCAAAATGAATAGAAGACCTTAACAGTTGTTCAGGTAAAACAATTCCAATCTAACTGCCCACGTGTTAATTGATCTACAAATTTCACACCAATTGTTATCCCTTCAAGATTGGTATAATAATATTGCAGTTTAATTATCTGTTGCATGCGTTGTAGATAAGGTGAAGTGCATTACTGTAGTCCCAAGAAAGGCTTTGTACACAGTAAAATGTAATGTACATGTACTGTCGTATTCAAGTAACTGAACACAACAATTCCAAATGAAACTGGGATAAATTATAAAATAACTTCAACTGAAATACCATATGTACTCGATAAGGTAATAGAACTACTGAATACATAGTATGAGTTAAACGGCTAAGCTACCTCAAATATAAATCACAATAGCAAGCCTGAACCATTGACTCTGATTGCCATCTTGAAAATTGGTGTCATGAAGAGTATGGGCACAAATTTAGTTATGCAGGTAGACGTGGGAAATTTTGTGCCACGACAAAATGATGACGTGATGATTTTAAGCCTATATAGTAAAATACTTGCGAAATTAATATATTCACCTATTAAGGATGTTTTTATCACCAATGTCTACAGCTCTCCAGGTTTGAAGTTCGCTATCCATAGTCTCAAGTTGAATAAAATTGGAAAAATTGACTTCATCGTTTGTGGCATAAATCTGGTAAATGTAGTCTGAGCTGAAATCCTTGGGATTTACTCTCCCCAAGAGAGTATCTGCAACTGTCTACTGGTCTGGCTATAAGAACCAAGTCAAATCTCATTGACAAAATCTATGAACTTTGGCTCCCTTTGACGTTGCACTGTTTTCAGGAGATGTGAGGGGAAACACGACACCCCACAGCTTGATCTGGAAAGCAAACTTTCCTTCATTGTCATATCTAGGTACAGGTGGCAACTGAAAAGAATCCCCCGAAGCAATGACTTGCATTCCACCGAATGGTCTGGTTTCTTGACGTACCTTACGTGAGATATATTCAGTAGAATTAAATATTTTCTCACTTAACATACACACCTCGTCAATGACAAGAATATCATTTCTCCTCCATCTATCTTTGGCTTCTGGATTACCGTCAATGCGATCAAGTAGTTGGCTCAATGACCTCCTGCCATCCTTTATTCCTGCAAATGAATAAATGGTTGAAGCCTGAAGTCGAGGCAGTAAACTTTTGCCAGCAATCCTGGTTGTGCACGTAAGTGAAACAGTTTTGTTAACTGCAGTCTTCAAACTATCATAAATATGTGATAACAAAAAAGTTTTCCTGTCCCTGTTTTACCGTTAATACCTATTCCCTCTTGGACAATTTCCTTAGCTGATTGTTGCTCGTAGTTTAAAGCCCTAAAAGAGAGAGATACCAGAAACCGATGAGTCATGATTTATGAATTCAACAGGCTTACTATGAAAAGTTGAAATGAATTGACAGGCTTCAAAAGACAGAAGTAAATTTACATCTTCAATGTACGTTACATTTTCTTTAATTCACCCTCTTCCTTCTCGTTACTCTTCACAAACACCATACAGAATCAAAATCGATAGAATCCAACAAGCACTAGCGCTACTAGTCTTTTGCAAATACTCTATATTTCTACACGACAAACATACACCAGGTGGTGGATTCTAGCCAATGGTGTTCATTAACAAGGTAATTACATCTCAAAATAAAAGTGCCCTCATTAAAGTTTCATTCCTTGTCTCCTTTCTCTTCTCGTGGCCGTTAGAGGAGAGTTAATAGTTAACAACATTAAAAACGTGAGATGAAACTCGAGCGTCTTATTTACAACATGCCAGACAAGCAAACACATCTTGATGACCAGCAATGTTAACCGTCTCTGATCTGATACAAATCCCTTCCAAAACGACTCATAAAGACACAGGAACAAAGGTAAACGCACCTTATTATTTAATTAGCTAATACAGCGTTTGGGTTCCCTTTGCTGGAGACTCTGCTACAAAAGTGTTGTGGATTTTCTCACACATGGGTCTTGGCTGTGTGTCCCTCAACACCTTCTTTAAATTCCAAAGGGTAAGCCTATTTCGGTGCTGGTCACGAGTTCCAGATAATTGCAGGCAATGATATAAATGAATCTTGTGGTACAGCTTAACTAAAGTGCAAATTAGTTCCACACTACAGATGTAAATAATATTATTAAAGGTATTGATTCAAATTAAAAAAAATTACAGGTACCATGCAGTAGGTAAATGATAACGTAATGTATTGTTATTGTGCTATCTGAAAAGATATTGAGCAAAAAGCTGCTGCATGCTTTACAAAACTGTATGTACATAAACTAATCTTATTATTATTATTATTATTTCTTAATATTTTTTCATTTCCAATCTTTTCTTCAGAGCAAGCTCTTTCCAACACTTTCACTGTATTGGGTAAAATATCAAGCGAAATAGTTGGAAAAGGTGAAAGCTATCCAAAGGGGCATTGTGTTAGTGGGAGATGGAGACACGACAGGATGGGACATAGTGCCAAGTTTGGAGCTATGTGTTGTTGTACTCTGCCAATGATGGTCCACTTTGCCCTTATTCAGATAGAGGGAAAACTCATGGTTTATTCTTCAAATGTTAGTGAATTTCACGGCCAGTGTTAGCTTTATTTTACGTCACCACTGCTGATGGGATTATATAAATAAATAAATAAATAAATAACGATTCGCAGTTAGCACATCCACATAGTGGTTATTCGTCTGCCTGATTCCTGGTCGAATTGGAATTTGGAAATGTTGGTTTTTGTGGAGAGGGGAAAACCGGAGTACCCGGAGAAAAACCTCTTGGAGCAAGGGAGAGAACCAACAACAAACTCAACCCAGATATGGTGTCGACGCCGGGAGTTGAACCCGGGTCACATTGGTGGGAAGCGAGTGCTCTCACCACTGTGCCACCCTTGCTCCCCAAAGAGTGCTAATTTTAGTTCACTCTAGTGATACCAGCGGGTGGGTATGACTTCGACGAACTTTTTTTCTTATTATTATTCACAGAGAAACCAGCCAGGAAGCAGTCCTGCCATGGAATTCATGGGCTTCAAGCAATGCATGGAATTTCTGTTGGGCTGTGTGGTTTTGATAACCACATTCATCTCTGATTACCACACCACCATTACAAGCTACATGAAGCAGGTGCTGAGCAACACTGCCCATTACTTTGACATATAGCATTTGAAGAACAGTAAGTATCCTCTAATAAAGTAAATGTGTAAACCTGTAATTTTTCACAGTTTAGTGATTTCTTTGCAGATTTACATTCTCCAACAAAACTGGCAGGCCTTACTGAAACTACAAACTTGTATGTTTATTCAGGTGAATTATTTTGAACATGTAATAAAAAATTGATATTATTGTTGAAAGCATTAAACCACTCAATGTCCTTCATTAACACCAATCTTTGAAAAACCACCCAGCTGACTGAAATGTTAACTATGTACCTGTGTGGTGAATAAAATCTTTACATGCCATAATGAATATAAACTACCAGTAAATGTACAATTTAAACTTAATGGTTGTAATGTTTGCTTCCCTAATTTTTTTGTGTACATGTAGAAATAAGAAAGGTCCTGAGCAAGCTGTCTAAAGAGAAAGGTTGTGAGATTTTGGCTGAATGGATAAAGCTGTGCGACAACCATTTGTATTGGAGTGCAACCAGTACCTTTAGCGGCAATGGGAAAGTGATTTGGACAAAGTTTAAGTCTTTCGTAAGTCACATTATTAACAAGCACTCTTCCCTTGATGATCTCCTTTTCAACAAGTGTGGTCATGGACAAATACACCCAAGAAAATGCCTTCATGCTGGTATGTTTCATATAACAATGAACGCAAGTTCAACTCCTCATGAGAATGCAAGATTTACATTTGGGCCATCCATACCAATGTTCCATGTCTTTGCTGGGTCCAGGTCGTTCGTGGTCTCTTCATAGTGATTGAGGATGTCGTGTCGTGTGTTCTACCGTGGCATATGGACAAGGATGTGAGATACTACGACTCCACTCTGCAATTTTCACTTGACCAAAACTGCACATGCACATCCAGTTGCTTGCTCTGTACCTCCTCAGTTAGTGACTCATCAAATAACAGTGCATGGGCTGGTGATTGCTCCACGTCGTATAATAGTTTCCTGGTGAAATATGGGCCAAGTTCAAATGTTGTGGCATAGCTGAATTTTGACTCGCTCATTGAATAATTCACTGCAATTTCACTATCACTGAACATCCTCTTTAATAAGTCATTTACGCCAACACTTGAATTTCCAGAGAAGTGGGAGTAAACACATTTCAAAGCCCATATAAAATCTCAGCATCAGCGACTTTTTTGGACAACACCACCAAAATTTTTTACGCTGAGCAGCGAATTTGGTGTCTGTTCATTACACCTTACAAACGACTGTTTAACAACAGGTTAGTGAATCTCCATCGTCTTTCCTTTAGATGGAGCCCTTGATGCAACTTTTTAAAAGTAAAGAAAGGTTTCTTTTTATGATGATGGCAATCACAATTCATTTGGAAATGGAGGTCTCTTTAGTAGGACCACTTCAATTGTTCCTAGTAACTGTAGGTAAAGATAAATTAAGCATCAGATTTTTTTATAACCCAGGTTCTGACTTTCTCATTTCACACCTTTTGCTCATACAATCAATGTCAATTATTTCAGAACAAAGTACATAATGATACTATTGTTCTGAAAAGCAATCTAATCCATTAACTAACTGGCTGTTGGCCTTGGCAAGGCTAGATAAATAATATTCTATCATGCAAAATCTATCGCCTACCAGCCATTTCGATTGAAACTGATTCAGTTGAGATGTAAATAGTTTAACGTACAACAAGGAATATTCACACCATATTTTTTCTTTGGTCAGAAACTAAGTTTACATTAAGTCAGATAAAAAATGCAGTTCAGCTGCTGGAATATGTATCAAAACGATCCTTTTTTTCTTAATTTGTATATTTTTATTGTTATAAACATCGTTGTCTTGGCAGCTTGTAAAGGAAATCTTGGAACAACACAACCTATATCAAGAAAACGAGACAAATTCTGAGGCGGACAATGACGATGTTGAGGCGGAGGTTGAAGACAATGCTGAGGTTGAGGAAGCAGAAGTACATGATCTAGACACTGGCAATAGAATACAAGTAGATATAGCAATGCAGGCAGCTGATGAACAGAAGGTGGATGAGCAACAAAAAACTGAGAAGACTAGTGAACCGCTGCAGGGAAGTGGGGCATCTGGGATGTCGGCATTAATGGAGGAACTAAAGGAGGATATTCAAGGGATGAATGCACTGCAAGAGTGCATTGTGAGGGGTTACGGGTGGATGTAGTCATGCGGTCTCAAGAAGAGATGCAAATTTCTGATTTAGAAAAGGTTGAGGTAGGTTCAGTGTTACTAAAAAGAACACTTTTGACATGAGCTTTCAATTAGAAGTTAATTGTGAAAGCTTCTTTTTCTTCTCGATTTTTTTCTTTTTAGACGAATGAAGAATGGCAATGTAGGAATGAATGTGCAACAAGCAATACCCTAAAAAATTAAATAATTCAATTGAAAGGAAAAGTGACCAGCTAAATAGGAAACTGGCCACCGACCAGGACCATTGGGTGCAAACATTCTAAGAAATTCATAAGCAAAATAGGCCACGGATGGTTGGTACAGGTAAGACTGTTTATCTGTCATAGTAATATAAAGTAGTGGTTTTGAAAAAAAAAAGTGACAACATTGTGGATCACCAATAACCATTAAAAGTCTACAATTGTTTTAAGCTTATATATACTCAACAAATTATCTCTTCAATTACACTGTTAGAACATAGTTATTGTTTCCCTTTGACCGCCTCCGCTCAAAGGGATTAATTGACAACCACACGTGACACACCCACTATTAATAGGCATTAATTTTTCTATCACTCTTGAAGCGGTCACATTGTTTTTCTACCTCGTGTAGTTTTTCTTTTCTCTCTGTTAATCATGGATAAAACTCGTCGTTGTACTGGGTGTAAGACGCCACTCTCAGAGCATACATTTGGAGGGCAGGGAAAGAGTTGCTCTAGGCCAGAACAATTTCCTGATGTCTGTGTGTTGAAGAAGATACCGCCTTTCCTTCCCAGCCAACTGAAGATGAACCGCAAGAAACTATAGCGGCCACTCTCACTTCTCTGCTAGAGGCGGTAAAATCGCTTACCACTGGCCTAAAGGAAGTCCAGGCTCATAATCAGCAACTGCGTGCCCTCCTTACTAACCAGTCGCGGATTAAGGAAGTTCCCGGTAGAACAATACAGGAAGTGTGGAAATATAAATGCTTTGTTGAGAAGTAATAGTACAGTGGCAGGTCTAAGCTTGCAAAATCTACTTATGACAATGAATTGGTTAGTTATCTTTTTACATACATTAGAGACGTGTTCATGAAAACAGCGTCTGTCATCCAAAGTTATTCCAAAAAATTCAAGTGATTTTTGTAGCAGAAAGGAAAACACATGACCCGTGTTTCCTATTATCATGGCCTGGTGTTTGGTGGGATTGACCAACATACCACCGTTTGAGCTGATGCATGAGCCTTCTTTCAAGTAATTTAGGGTCAGTGTCTGAGTCATATAATAAAGTAGGGGGGTCACTTGCTATTTACAAGGTCTGCAGGGGGGGGCCTTACAGAAATTTTGACCTTTCCATCATATTTTGGTTCCCCCCTCTACATAAATAATGACAAGTCCCTTAGGTGCCATGAAGTATGAATAAAGAAGACGAAATATCGGCAAGAGTCGTATTTTTCCAGTTTCTTGAGGAATGGAACTCTCACAATCTTACGACAGCGACGAAACATCTTCAGAAAACCGTGAATCATTACAGGAAGCACTAGGTGAGAAAGAAGTCAGAAGCATTCATTTGCACGAGGAGCCTCATGGAGAATTTTTTGGACACTGTTGAAGGCCACAGTTGCTAAAAACGCTATACTAATTAAATTCTTAGGTGTGAAGTTTAATTTTGCAAAAGTCAGCTGCTTGATACCTGATCTTCCCTGAGGCATCAAGGATAACAGAGACACCTGGTGATGCCATTTTGTGGTTTCAACCCCCGCTGCAGTGTTAATCGAGAACGCAAAAAAGTGGCCTTTTTGTACTCTTTCATGTTATATTTATGTCTTTAAAATGTTTCAATGCGCTCTTTGTAGTCACATTGACTTTTGTTGACTGAAAGAAAGACTTGACTTTCATAGACAAGTTAAAGTTCTATTTTTTGTCATTCGACCTTCTTCGGGATTAATTACTTTTTACCCGCTAAAAACAGATAAAACTGAGCGATTTTCAAGAGCATCTGTGGAGTAATTTTTTTAGCTTAAGTGTTCAACTGCTGAACTGTTATGGATGCTTATGACGACAAGGGCAGAAAACGAGGAAACAGCGAAAAGAGTGGAAAAAAGAAAGCAACAGGCTAAGTGGGCAAAGTCCAGTTCTTCCACAAATGCTAAAAAGTGATGGAAGTGAAGAGCAGAAAGTAGCTAAAGAGGACCAAAAGAGAACTTTGGTGGATACCAAGAAAAAAGCAAGTTCCTCGAAAAATTCTCCTAAAGTGCATGTATCCAAGACAAAGAGCCTCACCAAGGAAATCAAGCCAAAAGCGCAACTGGCAGTCGCAAGCTCAAGAAGTGCTTTGATGTTGAGCTTAGCTCTCAAAGGACAGTTTTTAAAGACCACGCAGACCTTGGAAGATGGAAAATCTTGCAAGCATTCCAACCAAAAAACCCATGACAAACATTCGAATCAACCACCACAGCTCATGCCAGCTTCATCCAGGAGAAATCTGTGTGCAGTTAAAAAACACATTGCCCTTAAGGAGAAGAGCCTGATAAACGAACTAGAGCCAGGGCACATAGACTATTTGTCCCTAGATGCTGTTGGCAGTGGAAGCTACGGGGAATGCTACCGTGCCCGTTACAGGGGAATCAACATCGTTGTCAAGAAGATGATACACAGGGATACAGAAGAGGACAAGTTAAGGGCGAGGCATGAAGTGGTCCCAGAAACTCATAAGGGGTTGATATGAGTAACTCTCATTTGTTTGCTTTGTCCAATGCTCGTGATTATTCATTTTAGAAAGTACCACATTTGGAACGAGAAGAAGAGATAACTGACCAATCAAACTTGGTAAACAACGTGACGTAATTTTCCTTCAGGGTTCCCGAGCCCGCTTAAAAAAATGGCCGACAAACGGGGGAAGAAGAAGGTTGAAACCAGCAATATTACCGAAACACTGAACAGGATATTATTGCCTTACCACCCGGGCCAAACGTAACATTATGAAACCCACTGACAGCCTTGCAACTTCTTGAAGTTGTCACTTCAAAAAACGATGCCTCGTTGACCCTCTGCGCAGTAACATTATACTGCAAACAGGCTTTTAAAATTCTTGTGTTAAAAGTCTAGAATAAACAGTGAAAAATATTTTCGAATAAAATTCATTAGCTGCATATCCAAAGTGTCCAAAGCCTGAACCTGACATCTTCGCAAAAAGCGATGCGTGTAATGAATGTGAGAAGCATTTTAGACGCTTACATTAAACTTAAATGTTGTAGTCACAATCGTGTTTTGAGCCAATTTTATGAATGAAGAAACTCAAAACAATAGACAGAGAGGCCTTTTCTTGAAAATTTTATTCAAAGTCCAAAAAGTTAATCCTTTAAAGCGAAACACTAAAAAAAAAACACCGAAAACACTATCTGGATTGTGGATCCGTTCACGCGAGTGACATCGGCTAAGCACATGGCAAAATTCAACACAAAATCCATCTTAAATCAGGGCACATTTTGTGATTTTTCTTTAGCGCCGAAGAGAAAAATTTATAAAACGTCTATGAAACATTTAAAAATACATAAATTCCCTTTCAAAAGCGTAATTGCCTTGGCCACAGAGTGCAAAATGTACCTGAAAATTCAGCAAAATCTTCGCTGACTTGGTTGCATTTCAAAACAGACCATTGGCTCCGCCGTCAAGAAAACAAGGTTGAATTCTTCAAAGGACGATTTCTTGACGATTTCTCGCTTCCCTTTCTCCACAGAAATAAAGCTGAGCATTCTTCTGAACTTTCTTTCCATTTTTTTGTCTTTTAATGGTGTATTTTTAACCTTACAATGCAGAACTCTTGTCTTAAAACATCTGCATGGTGATCGCTCAGTAGCCATTTTGCTGAAAATGGATATCCGTCACTAAGATTTCCCAATATGGTCAAAATGAATATTCACAAGCATTGAACGCGAGTTACACGTTTCAGCCCCTTATGGGTTTCTGGTGGTCCACAAAGCAGAAGTTCTTACTGCACTTGGGGACCATGAAGGACTGCCTAGGGCAAATAGACTATTTGCCTCCAGAAGCTGTTGGTAGTGGAAGCTACGGGCAGTGCTACTGTGCCCGTTACGGAGGAATCAACAGCGTTGTCAAGATGGTCATACACAGGGATATAGAACGGGCAAGTAAAGGGCGAAGCGTCAAGTGGTCCACGAAGCAGAAGTGCTTACTGCACTTGCGGACCAAGAAGGACTGCCTATGCTTATAGGTATCACAACAGCAAATATACCATTTTGTGTTGTAACACACTTCCACGGTGTCAATGAAAGAAGTGTGACCCTTCATCAAGCTGCAAAGCACAACATAATAACACATACCAAATATATTCATTTATTTGTGAAGATCTGCTCTGCCTTAGAGCACTGCATTTGAAAGGATTTTTGCACAAAAACATTAAAAGAAATAATGTGGTGTTTGATCAAACTGGTTCCTAGCAGTACGCCCTGTACTTATTGATTTTGGCAAAAGTACAAGAATACGTTCTGCTGCCATGATCACTGTGAACAAGAAGAAGACACATGAGAAGAGGGCCCACGGGAAAAGTTACCTTGCTCCAGAAGTCGTAAAGTACAGGCAGTACAGTCCAGCCAGTGACATTCATTCTATGGGACAAATGCTGAAAGCACTTGCAACAATCAAACAATTATGAGAAGGTTCGCATTGGTGTTAAGACTGCAAGCAACAATGAACCTTCTCATAGAGCAAACATCCAACAGTTCACCAAGGAAATCGCTGCATTTTAAACTTAATTTTTGCTTTTGTTCGTCTAACACCAGGGGGGTGAACCCTTATGATGACCTATATGGGGAGGCGTCCCGTGAAAGGGGTACCTTTTTCAGGCTTCAGGTATATAAAAGGGCAGGCACTTCACTGATTGAAGTATATAAAAGAGTATTCATAGGTATATAAAAGGGGTACCTGTTTCGTGAAAAAAGATATAATATATAGATTTAGCCATGTATAAAAGTGAAGCTGCTGGTAAATTCGCTATTTGTTTGTCTTTTTGTTTTCTTTTTATTAATTTATTCTGTGTAATTTTTTTCTTTTTTGTGTGTGTTTTACTTGCAATGAAAAAAAAAAAANCTAAAAAGTGATGGAAGTGAAGGGCAGAAAGTAGCTAAAGAGGACCAAAAGAGAACTTTGGTGGATACCAAGAAAAAAGCAAGTTCCTCGAAAAATTCTCCTAAAGTGCATGTATCCAAGACAAAGAGCCTCACCAAGGAAATCAAGCCAAAAGCGCAACTGGCAGTCGCAAGCTCAAGAAGTGCTTTGATGTTGAGCTTAGCTCTCAAAGGACAGTTTTTAAAGACCACGCAGACCTTGGAAGATGGAAAATCTTGCAAGCATTCCAACCAAAAAACCCATGACAAACATTCGAATCAACCACCACAGCTCATGCCAGCTTCATCCAGGAGAAATCTGTGTGCAGTTAAAAAACACATTGCCCTTAAGGAGAAGAGCCTGATAAACGAACTAGAGCCAGGCCACATAGACTATTTGTCCCTAGATGCTGTTGGCAGTGGAAGCTACGGGGAATGCTACCGTGCCCATTACAGGGGAATCAACATCGTTGTCAAGAAGATGATACACAGGGATACAGAAGAGGACAAGTTAAGGGCGAGGCATGAAGTGAAACAAATCTGGCATCGAGGTGATATAGCCTTATATGTACACCCAAAAAATAGTCTTTGGTCACATTTAAGAGCAATAATGGCCCTTGATCACAGTAGATAAGGCGTGGTAAACAAATCAGGCCGAATGTTTTGCATTCGACAAGTTTACTTTACAAATTCTTGCCAATAAATCTGGGTGCGTGCAAACTAACCTTTTGTTTTTTTTATACACCATATCTGAGGACGAAGAGTACTATGAGGTGCTGTTTTTGTCATACACACCTCTATAAAATGCAGTATTTCACAATTTTTCAAGACAAATTGCATTCATTCAATAATCAGGACCATCGAAACACACATGGACTTTTAGTGAAACAGCTCAGAAAGTTTCCAACATCACCTATACGGCCAGTTGGTTCTAACTTTTGACCAGCACCAAATTTGCAAAGAAATTTTGAAAGAGTTACGCTTCACGTCATAGAGAATTTATTGAGTTCTATTTTTCAATAATGGTCTTATAACAATGTGTAATCTTAAAAAGCATTCGATACGCTCTGCATTTTGATTACTCCTGCAAGCGATGTTTATGCACAGCTGAAAACAAACTGAAAGGTGATGAAAATTGCACTTTTAAGACTACCAACAATCACTAAAGAAATATAATTCCGTGGAACATCTACAGAGACAACAATTTTCATTCACAAAAACAAATGAGTATTTAAGTGTCTCTAAGAATCCTCAAGTCTTTTATAAGCTTAAAGAATAAGTTTATAATGTTTTAAGCTGCTGGTTTTGCAGTGTTTGCTATTTTCAAAGATGAACTCGTGACAAGAAAATCGCTCAGAGCTTTCTCTCTACGGCCAATTAGTATTGACTAAAGGCTTTTTAAAGTTCTGTAAACTTATATCAAACCTCATGATAGGTCAGATCAGTGTCTCAGTCAAATCTTGATACAAACAAAAAAATGCATAAACTAGCTTCATGAACTGTGCTCGACTTCATGGAATTAGATATAAATACGATAATTACTCAGGCTTACCATATTTCGAGATGCAGCTCCTGAAAGCTATCAAGTAAGGCAAGGATGGCTTGAGCCTTTATAATTCTCGTACGCATCCAGTAAGGTGAAAAACAAACGATGCCATCCGAAATTGGACAAGCGACACATTTCTCAACCAAAAACCCAATAAACAAACCAGCGATGAATAAGAGAAGACTCTTGATAGCAGCTGTATTTCATTTTGTACATTCAGTGGAAAAAGACAGTTAAAAACATCACAAGCTGACTCAAAACTCTTTCAGCTTCAGCTGTCAAAGTAAACAACTTTCAAGATATGCCGCATAAATTTTACGCATGAACTCAGCTGTCAAATTTTAACCAATCAGATCATAAAAATTGGACGTGGAGCATGACCAACAACTGTCCCCCGTATTTTAAAAAAACTGGCTGAATTTTTGCGTCTGAGGTCAGTTTGAAATCAAAATCGTAATAGTACTGGGCGACAGTGACAAAAACACAACATATTTGATATGAATTTTTAAAAAAATCTGAGCCTGTGATCATTTGAAAACGAGTAAATTGTCAGCGGATAACTTCAAAAAATACTTGACCTTGATGAGTTGACATCTGAGCCTGCAATAGGGTCAGGAAATACTGGTCAGCGGATACCTGTTTTGATAGCTGTCAATTGACCACAACATTGATGTGCAATGAGCTTTCTCCGGGGCTCCCAAAGTAGCTAGAAAGTGTGAGAGTAAACATTGGTATGCCTGGGGTGCAGACGGACGGTCAGTAGATTTATTTACCCATGGTGCTCCACTGGGGTGCTTCACGCGCGGAGCTCCACTATAACAAGTTAAGGGGTTGAAAATTGGGGCGGTGCCTTCCCGTATAAACACTTTTTACGTACCCCNTTTATAAAAAGAAATACCCCTGTTGCGTTTATCGTTGTTAAAACAGCCTGGGACGCTGCAAGTGAATCCTCCTGACTTCTTAGCTCCAGACGCCATCTTGGATCAATGACTACAACTACCAGAACTCTTTGCGCGTGTGACGTCATCGTGCAAGTGAGCTACTACTACAATGTTT